AGAGAAAGACCTGAAGGCAAAAAATGGCTTTAATGCAGATACTGGAACCAGAAAACATGGCTGGGGTCAAGATTTTAATTAACTTTGTCACCTGGAAAGTTACTTAATTGAACTTGTTCCTCTGTTACCATCATTCAAAGAATGGGGATAGTGAGAACTATGTTAGTAATTGACAAAATGAAGTGAGTATGAAACAGTGTAAAAAATCAAATGCTTACACAGTTTTTGTCCTTATGGGACAGAGTCCACTTAGCATAAATGCTCTCAAGTCCCTCTCAAATTACAAAATGATTTACAAAATCATTGGTCCAACATGCTAATAGTATTCCATTGTGTGAATGTACCATAACTTATCAATCTGTTCCATTGAGACTGGACATTTGGGCTGTTTTCATGTTCTTGCAACGGTGAATAATAGTGCTATAAACATTGGTGCACAACTCTCAATTTGTGCCTCAGTTCTCATTTTCTTGGGGTATATTCAAAGCAGTGGAAGAGCTGGGCCATATGGAATTTAATTTCTATGTTTAGATTTTTAAAAACATTTTTATTGGTTTTCATATACTTTACATTATGTTTCATTCATTTAAATTGTGGGGTGTTTTATTCTATTTATTAGATTTCTCTTTTTTTATTAGGCTAGTTTATTTACAAAATTTGAAAACACTGTTTTTCAGACAAGATTCTTCCTATTTTCCTCACCCACCAATATCAAATTGTACAACCCCAGAATATGGGGTTCCATATGAAATTTCTATGTTCAGCTTTCTGGGGATGCACAAATCTGCCTTAAAGAGTGTTTATATCATTTTACAATCCCACTAACAGTGTATAAGAGTTACTATGGCTCTACATCCTCTCGAACATTTGTTACTTGATATCAGTCCTGTTAAACTTTACAACTGCTACTGTAGTGATACTCATTGTGGTTTTGATTTGCATCTCTCTTATTGCCAGTGATTTTGATTATAGAAATAGAAAGATAACAAGTAAAAGAAAGATAACTAGTAAAATGTGTATGATGATCTAATGGGGAAGGGTGGGAGGAGAGGGGTGAGGATGGGTGGGAAGGGGTGTCTGTAATCATAGGGTTGCACAATTTGATAGGTGGAGGGAAGAGTGGGTAAAGGAAATGCGAAAGATCCATTGTGAAAAACAATGTGTGTGAATACTGCAAGTAAACCAGTATTAAATAAAAATATTATTACTATAGAAAAATGAACACTACAAAATTCATTTTAAACATGATAAATTTGTTCTTCAATCAGAGTGATTAATTTATATTTGTTGACTGCTATATTAAATTTGTAAATAATTTAAGACACTTAAGAGTCACGTAGTCCAAAGGGTTAAATCTCAAACTGACAGCTCTGGACAGTAAATAAATGGAGATTTTAATGAAAACAGAAATAACATACAGAATGACTCCAAATCCTGAATGTTAACAAATTCTTTTGCTTATTTAAATCAATTGTTCTTATATGCTGCTGTTGATAGTCTTCAAGTCGAGCACAACTTATAGCAACCATATGAACAAAGTGCCTGAAGTCCCTCTACAACTACTAACATTTATCAAAGTTCATAGAGTTTCCAGAGGCACGCTGTTTAGGAAGTGGATGCCACTCTGCTTCCAAATCTGTCATAGTATGCTATTGTTGTTATATGTAAGACTCATTATAATATTGATATAGAGACTCACCCTTAGAGTTACTAATTTATTTGGGCTGAAAGGGTATCTAGGAATATGCATTTCTAAGTTTCTACATGAGGCTAAGCCATTTCTCTGTATTTGAAAATCATTATTAAAGATATTAAATATATGAAGAGATAGCCACACACACACACACACAACACTCAGAAAAAAGGAATAATGAAAATCTTTATAGCAAATGTAACTGCCCAAATTACTTACAAGAGGTATAGTTAGAAAACAGTGTGTGTGTGTGTGAATTAGTTAAAACAGCAAAACTTACGTATACAATAAACCAGCAATATTTACATATATTATACAGTTAAAAAGTTTGCTGATTTATTCCAACGATACACCCACTATCTCCTTTTACCTTCTGCTTTAAAAACTGAAAACCTGCATTTACTATCGATATAACCAAAAATGGCTTAATTTAAGCATGTATTACTCCTCAAAAGACCACTCTAGGAGAAAAGAAGCAAAAGGTAATAATCTGTTCATATTTAAATTCTATTCCAGAGAAGCATTAAACATCTTTATATACTAACCCCGGAATGGATACAATTTTTTTTCTGCCCTAATGCAATTTTGTAATCTCATCATTTATAATGGGAGGAAACTGTTTTGCCTACAAAGGAATTGATCAAACACAGACTTGTAAAAATCACATTATTTACCAGAGTTGTGTGGAGAAGGCAAGAGAGAATGTCTCTTACCAAACACACTTTTCAACTTAATGCAATTACTTTTTAGAAGGTAATGTTGAGCACAATGTTTCAGATTAATAACCATCTAAAAAATCAGGCTTGCAATCTTCCCCAAGAAGCGGACCTCTACAGCTTGATTTCAACTTGGTCTTAAGATCCATTACCATGGAAAATAAAAACAAAAAATAATTGTGATATTATAAAGTCAACTCTTTCAGTGGTTTCAGGAAAAAGACGATTTAAAAATGCTTTTTAAAAGATTACTTTTAACCCATATTTGCCCTTTTATTGCCTGAGAAAGAAAAGCAGAAGTTCTAAAAGCAGCCAGAGAGAACTAGAAAGTGTCTGCACAGCTTTGATGCTACAGTGTTTGATGGTGAAGCCCTTTCCCACTCTCTTTCTCTGTAGAATACTCAAGACTTGACTAATGAGAGCTCAGCAAGTTCTTCATCATGAAGAATATGACAGCAGAACTAAGGCCATGAAAGGAAAAGACCAGATGCTGTTCTGCAGGCTGCAATAGTGACCATTGGATCCATTCAAAACTACAAGATCCAGAGGACCCAGGTACATTTCATGTAGATGTATCGGACAAATGTGTGTGTTAATTTTCTTAATAATTTATATCAATGTAAATATGTAATAGGATTAAAAACTAAAATGTGAGCCACATTAATGGTGGTTAAGATAACCATTAAGTTCATCACTTCAGAGATTTACAAGGTTTAGATCACTTTAAGACTTATAAGCTAAACAGAAATATTTATTCTATCTCATTTAACCTATCTTATCTCAAGAGATTTAAATCTAGATTGAGGGAGCTAAAATTCTAAATGTCAAAATGAGCATTCCTAACACAGAATTTCCAAGTCATGTAGTGAGAGCCGGTGATTTAGAATTTAAAACATTTGGCTGCTAACAGAAAGGTCAGCGGTTTGAAACCAGTACCTACTCCATGGGAAAAATATCCAGATAGCTCCTGCCTGAGAAAGTATATAGGTGATATCTACTAGAAGGGAGAAAAAAAAAAGAGTGTGATGTGTGTGTGTGTGTATTGTCATATTTAAGTTTTCTACATGGACGTTGATTTTCAGTTATTTATATTTATATCTGATACCTTTGAATATTTTATGTAGAATGAATTTGCCTTTTTGAAAAGATTAAGAATTTAATTTGAATTTTAAAAACTGGTATCAGATGACACAAAATAATATTCTGTTTTCTTTATAGCTGCTTGTTGTGGTAAATAACCTACAAAACCAGGCAGGGACATGGTTTTACTATTTTAGCTATATTTTTTATACTCTATGTCTCAAATGTTTTGAGAAATCACAGCTCATTATTTTAATGTTTTCCAATTATTCTCATGATATTTAAGAAAATACATGTGAAAATTCCAAAGATAATGAGCCATGTTACAAATGAGATCATCATAGGATAAAGAGTTGCTGTTAAATAATGACCCAGAGAGCTGATTTCTGAAGTGTAACTGAGCAAAGCAGAGGCAGAATTATCCACTGGCTGCTGTTCCTGGGGGAAAATGGGTAGTTTCTTCACATAAAGATTCTAAAAAACCTGATGGAGGGTCATTATGAGACCTAACTCCACTATATGGGTAGGTTTAAAAAACAATGCATTTTTTAATTCAAAATTTTAGTTACTTAACAATAAATTCAGCATGACTGATTCTATACCAATTTCTCTCAACTTGTTATTTTAAAATCTCCAAAGTACACTGTAATCAGCCTTCACTCCTAGCAACCGTGTAACAGTGAACAGTTTAAGGTGGTATATGAAACAATTTTATTTTTAATAAAGTGAAATATTTCAAAAGTATGGAAATGAAAGTGGAGATGACTAATAGCTCAAATATTTTCTATAAGTTTTGCTTATAATTTTTAAAAGTGTTATAAAAGGCAAATGTTTGAAAAATAACTTGATTACAACATTTTGCTTAAGATGGAATATTTGCCAAGTGAGATATTTTGAGATTCTATTTTCTTTGTTCTGATTGTCACATGAAACATAAAGTGATTTTTATAAGGCATTGAGTGGAAATAACAGCAGAAATGAGCGACTGTGCACTGATAATCCTCCTCCTGTCCCTCCATCTCTAGGTGGAAAGAAGGAAAACCAGCCATGGCCAATGTCACAGCAACCCCAGCGAATGGCACTCGCTGCAGCAGGGATTACCAAACCACCCAGGTCCTCTTTCCACTGCTCTACACTGTCTTGTTTTTCATCGGACTCATCACAAACAGCCTGGCAATGAGGATTTTCTTTCAAATCCACAGTAAATCCAACTTCATTATTTTCCTCAAGAACACAGTCATTTCCGATCTTCTCATGATTCTGACATTTCCCTTCAAAATCTTTAGTGATGCTGAACTAGTAACAGGCTGGTTAAGAACCTTTGTGTGTCAGGTCACCTCCGTCATATTCTACTTCACGATGTATATCAGTATCTCATTTCTTGGACTGATCACTATAGATCGTTACCAGAAGACCACCAGTCCCTTTAAGACATCAAGTCCTAACAATCTCTTGGGGGCAAAAGTTCTCTCCATCATCATCTGGGCTTTCATGTTCTTACTTTCTTTGCCGAACATGATTCTGACCAACCAGAGGCCCAAAGACAAAAACGTGAAGAAATGTTCTTTCCTCAAATCAGAGTTTGGACTAGTCTGGCATGAAATAGTCAATTACATCTGTCAAGTCATTTTCTGGATTAATTTTTTAATTATTGTTGTCTGTTACACACTCATTACAAAAGAATTGTACAGGTCATATGTAAGAACCAGGGGAGTGGGCAAAGTCCCCAGGAAAAAGGTGAATGTCAAAGTCTTCATTATCATTGCAGTATTTTTTATTTGTTTTGTGCCTTTCCATTTTGCCCGAATCCCCTACACTCTTAGCCAAACCCGGGATGTCTTTGACTGTTCTGCTGAAAACACTCTATTCTATGTGAAAGAGAGCACTCTGTGGTTAACTTCCTTAAATGCATGTCTGGATCCATTTATCTACTTCTTTCTTTGCAAGTCCTTCAAAAATTCCTTGATAAGTATGTTCAGGTGCCCCAATTCAGTAACATCTGCAGCCCAAGTGAACAGGAAAAAAAGACAGAACAGTTGTGAGCCAAGTGAAGAAACTCCAATGTGAACAAATAAACTGCGGAAATAGTTCAATCTAGAAGTTCTGAATTCCCAGTAGGAAAAGAGTATGCAAAATTATTAACACTGACTATGAAATGGTAAACAAAAAAGACTTAAAAGAATAATTAGACAGTTATAAAAGTAATTTTCACTTATTTTTCCTTTATAAAAGCAATCTCAAAATGTAGAAAAATAACTAACACATGTCTTTTTGTAAAACAGACTATATCTCTATGCAAAAATATTAAAAATTTTTAATTTGTCGTTTTAGCAAAATGGATCAACAATACAATAGTATCTACTGGAATTCTTTAAATATATTACTTATTATATCTTAAATTTTAAAGAATAATAAAAAAAATATCAATCTCACTCCAGTAATAGTGGCAAAGTTTAAGAGGACACAAGTAATAAATGTTGGAGAAGATGTGATGAGATAGGAACTCTTATACATTGTGGGTGGGATTGTAAAATGGTACAACTGCTCTGGAAGGGTTTGGTGCTTCTTCAAAAAGCTGAACATAGAAATTCCACATGATTCAGCTATGCCACTGCTTGGAATATACCTTGAGAAAATGAGAACTGAGGCACAAAAGAAAACTTTGTGCAAAACAGACACTAGAGATAATGTTCATAGTAGCATTATTAACCACTGCAAGAACATGGAAACAGCCTAGATGTTCAACTACAATCAAATGGATTGAGAAATTACGATACATTCATACAATGAATGTAGGAGCAATGATTTTGTAAATTATTACCTAACTTGTGAGGGACTGGATAGTATTATGCTGAGTGAACTAACCCAGTCCCACAAGGACAAATACTGTATAAAACAATTACTGTAGAATGAGTATGAGGATCCAAGGGGGAGGGGTGGAAGCAGAAGTAGGGGCGAGGGGTGCTTTAATCACAGGGTTGTACAATTTAATGAGGGGTGAGGAAAATTGGAAGATTCTAGTGTGAAAAATAATGTATTTGAATTTTGTACGTAAACTAGTATAATAATAATAATAAAAAGAAAGAATTACACTTTAAGACATACACAGAATTTATTCTTAGGACCCTTATTGGAATGCTGACCTATTTGATACTTAAAAAAAGTTAGGTAAACACTATATTCAGTTAAAGAATAAGTACTAACGTTTAATTATCTGTAAAATCCTACTGTCGATCTTAGGCCTTGTTAAACTGTTTTTGACTTAGAACATCCTCATGGGACAGACATAAATGCTAAGATGTAATATTTACAAGAACCAATCATTAGATCTTCACTCCCATAGAATCGCTGGTGAGTTTGAACCATGAATCTTTCAGTTAATAGCTAACTGCTTAACTGTTGTACAAGCAGGGCTTGGAATTTAAGCTAAATTACATCATTTTTTATTGGATTGTGTCTTTCAAATGTTCATTAAAACGACAGGATTTTAAAGAATATGCTTCTAATGCAAAGGTGAAAGAGTAAAAGTGATTAATCACTGAGATGAGACTTATTTTATGAATTTAAAGAATTATGAATTTTCCTTTAATAAAAGTGATTTCACTAATATGTCGAAAATTGTTAATGATCACAAAGCCATATTGACCTTTGTTAGTTTCACTTAAATGACATAGAATTTTTCTAGATTCACTCCTTGTGCATGCCAAGTACTGATAATGAGGTACCGAGGTTGTATATTTTTTCACTACTTACTTAATCTACATTGTGAGTAAATAATACAAGAAATTGGATTATATGAAGAACAACACAATTTCAGGATTGGAGAAATACTTATAACCAACCTACAATATGAAGATGACACAATATTCATTGCTGAAATAACATATATACAAAGTATTATTAATTAAGCATTTACTATTAATAAACAAAGGGAGCTCAGGTGGCTTGCTGGTAAGGAGTTGTGCTGTCAATCCAAAGGCATTCGCTTTGCATTCACAAGCTGCTCTGTGGGAGAAGGACGGGCAATCTCCTCCCACGTGATTTACCGCCTCTGAAAAGCAGCTGAAAGGTCAGCTATGAGTTGGTTCTGACTTGATGGTACAGAACAACATTAAGAATAAAAAAAAAAAAATCACAGCTTTCAATATGGATTATACTTCTACACAAAGAAAACAAAAATCTTTACAGCTGAACCAATAACCAACACTATGATAAACGGAGAAAATTTTGAAGTTGTCTCACATTTAATTTGGTCTGGACCCACACTCAGTGCCTATGAAAGCAGCAGTCAAGAAATCAAACGGGTTTCATTGCACTAGGCAAATCTGCTGCAAAAGATATATAAAATACTAAAAAATAAAGATGTCACTTTGAGAAACTAGGTATGTCAGACAAAAATATGCTCTTTTCAATTGTCCTGTTGTTGTATGCCATTGAGTCACTTGAGACTCATCACAACCTTATATACAACAGCCCTGAAAGCTGTTCCCTCCTGTGCCTACTGTCTCTGATATACCTACCCTCATTACCCCAGTCACTCAGTCAATTCATCTCATTGATGGTCTTCCTTTCTTTCTCTCCCACCACCCTTCCAAGCATGATGTCCCTCTCCAAGGACTGGTCCTTCTTTGCAACATGCCCAAAGTATGTAAAATGAAGTTTCAGAATCCTTGCTTCCAATGAGCAGCCTGGCCTCACCCTCTCTAGGGTAAACCCATTTGTTTTCCTGGCAGTCCATGGTATATTCAACACTCTTTCCCAGCACCACAGCTCAAAGGCAACAATTTCCTAGTCACTGTTCAGCTCTGATGCTTAGCAAACAATTAACAAAAACTATGGCCTGGATCAGGTGCACCTTAGTCTTAGTTTTGGAGCCAAGCAAACTAAAGCTGTTAACAATCTCAATCTCTTCACCATCTATCATGATGCTGCCAATCGGTGAGAATCTTTGTTTTCTTGATATTAAACTTTAATCCATATTGAAGGCTGCAGTCATTGATCTTCTATAGCAGGCATGCAAAAGCTGGCCAGTTGAATGGTCTAGTCTTCATATAGTCACAGTTCTGTCCAGAGGCTCTACTGCTCTGGCAGAACAAACCTACACTCCTAGAGAGAAGTAAGAGCCATCTCTTCCTATCCCTCAAAAACCCAATGAGGTGGGTGGTAAGCCCTGAATAGCAGCTTCTGACTTGACAGCAAACAGTTGGTATATTTTAGTTTTTCAAAGAAGCATTGATGTCTTTGAACCTATACTGTAAATACCATAAAAACAAACAAATCTGCTTTAGATGAGCTAGAGTCAGAATAATTGGGATCAAGGATGTTGAAAACATCTTGTATATTTTAGACATATAATCATTGGGGCCTGTCTTTACAGAAGAACATCATGCTGGGTCAGTGAAAAAGAGGCAGGCCCTAAAATAAGGCTGACTGATAAAGTGGTTCAAACTATGGGCTCAAACATGGCAATCACTGCGAGGATGGCACAGGATAAGACAGCATTTTGTGCTGCTGTACAAAAGGTCATTGTTGCTGAGTACCAATGAATCAGAACTCACTCAAAGCTGAACCTCTAGTGGGTTTTCAGAGGCTGTTAACCACAGGGGAGGAGGACTGCCCATTCTTCTCCCACCCTATGGAGCAGATGGTGGATTTGGATTGTGTGTCTTAATGACAAAGGGTCATTAAGAGTTGGAAAAGACTGTACCATTTTACAATCCCACCAATTATGTCCAAGAGTTCCTATCTCACCATATCCTCTCCAACATTTTTTACTTGCTGTCCTGTTAAACTTTGCCACTGCTACTGGAGTGAGAGGGTATCTCATTGTGGTTTTGATTTGCATCTCTCATACTGCCAGTGATTTGGAGCATTTCTTTGTGTATCTGTCTGTTGGCACTCTGAATACTGTCCTCTGTGAAGTCTTTCCATGTCTTCTGGACATTTTGTAATTGTGTTACAAAAGAAAAAGACCATCAGTTTTTTTTCTTATAGAGGCCCTGTATGATTCTGTAAACCCTTGATATGAGACCTTTGTCTGAAATGGTATTACCACATTTTTTTTCACAGTCAGTAGGTTTTCTTTTCACTCTATTGGAAAAGTTTTTGATGTACACAGGGCTTTAATCTTTAAAAGGTTCCATTCATCAAACTTATCCTCTCCAGAATATGTATTTCTGGCTGTATTTGGTAGTCTCTTTATACTTTTATACTCAATACGCTGATGAACTTTATGTTTTGGGCTTTACTCCCAGATCTCTGATCCACCTTGAGTTGATTCTGTGTATAGTATTGAGATGTGGATCCTGTTTCAGCTTTCTGCAAGTAGCAGTCCAGTTTTTCAAGAAAATTATCTGCTTACTTGGCTAAATGAGCATTTTCTTTACCGAGAAAATGAGCAAGATATGATTATGCTTTAACATACCCTATTAGGAGGAATGTGATTCAAGTTTAAAATTACCTACTTACCTATATGTGTTTATAACATGAGAAATATATCTTAAACTGTAAATCATACTTTGTCAGAATTTTTTTATTCAAAGATACAGTGAAATATTTTGGAAATAGAATTCTATGGGGCTATCTTGTTTTATGTTTGTTAGTGGTTTCCCTATAACATTTGCATACATTTTGCTTCATTTATATACACTATACATTGCGTTTCACACGATCATTCTTATACATGTGTTTCATAAAATCAATCATCCATGAATACTATGACCCTACTTTTTTCAGGTCCCCACTAGATCTTTTCTAATTCCTTCTCCCAGTTCCTCTGCCCACCAAATTCTGTGGCAATTTTTCCTCCACTCCAACTTCAGCCCCCTTTGGACTTTGTACACATCTTACTAATAATACTATTTTTACAACAATGGTCTTATTTGTTTAAGTATTTGTCTTTATGATACTGAGTTAGTTCACTCAACATAATGGTCTCATGGTATATAGTTATTTTTCAAAATTGTTGCTCTTGAGTACTGCATAGTATTTCACCCTGTGACTGTACTGCAATTTCTCAATCCATTCATTTGTTCCTTGACCACTGGGCTGTTTCCATTGTCTTGTTATTGTGAATAACACTGCTATGAGC